AAAGCAGCGGATAAAAAAAAAGAAAAACGAAAAAAAAACAAATAGGGTAACAAGGAAAGCAATGAATGCGAATGAATGCGCCCGTCCAATTCAGACCAGTCTGTCAGACCTTCACTCGGGACGGGGAGGACAGGATGAAAGGAGCACGCGGTATGATTGGCGTTCCCGTGGGAAACCGAAATGCACGCCTTCTGCCCGGTGGATAGCTTTGGGTAATCAAGTAGGTCAGAAGAGGTTTAGATGGACTGACCCTTCTTGCGACCTCCGAGGAGCCGGCTTAAGGACCAGGATGGGAGGGGGTGGACGATGATGGGTGGAGAGTAAGGCTACTAGTCCAAGGCACGGCATAAGAGGGGAAAGGAACAAAGTCAAAACAAGGGACGGCCGGTTCCTACAGTAGTGGGAAGCCCACAAGTGAGGTGACCTTTCATGACTATGTGGATGTGCAGCTGCTATCAAAAGGCCAAGAAGGGGAGGGGAAACAGAAACCAGGGCAAGTATGACAGATGTCAGTCTTCAGTGGGTATGGGAGGGGTCAATTGGGCTCGAGAAAACCACTGAAACCCATCAATTTAGATTATAAGACAAACGGAAGGAGTGGGAATGTAAACAATGTGGTAAGGACATGGGGATGGGGGTTGCTGATGTTGATGGGATGTTTTTGATAGTAACCCTGAATGAGAATAATCATCCTGATTAAAAAAAATAGAACCAACAAACGGCCATGAAATCATGCAGATAAGCAAATGCATAAGATAGAATTAAAAGAGAACACCAATAAAGAAAAAGAATTAAGTCACCTACCATGACGGTTTGTGATGCTGCAATCAAGAGGGGAGAATGGGGGAGGAGAATGAGAGGAGGAGATGTGTTGTGGTGTTGTTTGGAAGGTCTGGACTGTTGTCACTGGAGAATGTCGATGCTGAATGGGCGGATGTTCAACTCCCAAACAGGATTCCAGAGCAAATCAGAAGGACGAAGAGAAATAAAAAAGGGGAGCAGAGTAAAAGGTAAAATAGAAAAACAAATTAAAAAATCAATAATCGATTGGAAACGAAAACGGAGAACCTCCGGAAAGTTCAGTCGACACTGTAATATTGGCAGGGGTGATGGTTGCAAGTTGGCCTTTCTTTAATATTCTTGCGGTCTGTTCTCACTGTCCTCGACCGGTCAATGTTACTTCCACGCGGGGGCGGGCAATAAGAACTGGGGAAAGGGAAGGGGGAAATAAGACAATGGGAAGTGGAAGAGAAGAGAGGTAGAGAAGCAGAGACAGAGACTTACATTAATTATGCCGGGGAAATGAAATCAAAGGCGGCAGGAACAAACAATCAAGAGACTCCGTAATCATGCGTTCAACATCGTCCCTATCGCAGATGAGATGAGATGCAGCTTGACTGTCATTCTGATGAAATAAACAACCGACTATCTATGGATATTATTCAATTCTCGTCTATTTCCTACTGTATCCCATGTCACTCACAATCCAAGATCGGGATCAATGCCTACAAGTAAGGTAAGTAGCGATGGCAGTAATTATTACTAAAGAATTTACTTGAAATCAAACCTGTAGCATTCCTATTAGGTTCTATAATTTTTTGTTTATATCTTTTTACGCCTATCCCTACATTGTGATATAGATTGAATATTCATACCAGATGTGATAGGAAGATGTTCCCAAAGAGGAAATCAGCTATATTAACTCAAGGTCAAATCCTTTTGCCTTGGCTTCTCGATCTTAGATAATCACCTGCAGCCTGTCTATCCCAACAGTATATACCATGAATTAATCCAACGCCATATTAACCAGGGATAACCCCATGGAGATCGATTCTAATCCTCAACCAACAGTCAATTGCACATGCGGGGCATATACATCTACTTGACATGAACTCATTCCCTCCAATACACAAGAAGTAAAAGCAACCACTTTCACCTCGAACCGATAACAACTTGCACAACCTATCATCCCAATAGTTCCCCAAGAATCAAAGTAGTAAATAAGAAAAGTATTAAACATTCCCCAAACCCCGGTTACCAGAAAGCAACCACAATCGTACATCATCTGACAGGAAGAGGTTTACTAGACTCCAGTCAACGTCCAATCTTGGCTCCGCTCAGGCCACCGCTTAAGCCCACCCGAGAAAATCCAACAGAATAAGTTCCGACAACACCCAAACCCTCCATCGCAACGACCAAACATCAAAGCACGAACACCCAATAACCATGGCACAACCGCACCATTAACCCGCTACCACGCGGCCTCCTATCAACTTCCAAACGTCAATTAGCCCGCACCACCCGCTCCATCATCCCCAATGCACTCGCCAACTCCAGCACCAAACCCGACCAGCCCGCCGTCACCCTACTCCAACACACCTCACATCCTCTCCCCTCTCACGACCAACTAGACGACCCTACCACTCCGAACACCACCCGGACCCCCCGCCTCACGAATACACCAACTCCCAAACTACCATCCTCTCCGCCGCGCTCCGCCACGTCCCGACCCACGGCTTCACCCGCGACGCCCTCACTCTCGGCGCCCGCGATAGCGGCTTCCTAGACGTGTCGGTGCAATTGCTCCCCCGCGGAGAGTTCGACCTGGTTCTGTTCTGGCTAGCAAGTCGTCGAGGATTATTGCGCGCAAGTGTGGACAATGGGCTCTTCGAAAAGGATGAGCGGGTGAAGGCCGGACTGAAGTTGTCCGTGGAGGAGAAGACGAAGCTCTTGCTCATGGAGAGGTTGAGGATGAACACCGAGATAAGACATCAGTGGCAGGATGTATGTGCTCCCCTACTTGTCTCGAATTCTGCTACCTATCACCGGGGGGATTGCGGCGCAATGCTTCTGGCTGTGGGTATGGATTGTGGCTGATTGTGATCTTTGTTATAGGCTCTGGCGCTTATGTCGCTGGCGGGTAATATCCCTCTCTCGTTGTCGGAGTTGCATGCGCTTTCGTCGGAGATCTTGACGCTCGCTGGTGATGCTTCGGTCGATGCGTCGTGGTATACGAAGCGGTTGTCTGTTGCGGCGATTTATGCTTCGTCGGAGGTGGTTATGACCCGGGATCAGAGTCCTGGTCTTTCTGAGACGGAGGCGTTTGTTGAGCGGCGTGTCGAGGATAGTGCTGCCATTGGGGAGAAGCTGACCGGATTCAAGCAGTGTTTAGGGTTCGTGGGGTCCACGGCTATAGGGCTGGGGAGGAGCTGGGGATTGAAGATTTAATGGGTGGCCCTGTATGATTTGTACTATTACTACATCCGGTCTTGGTGGGTGTTTCTATACTTCTATTATGTGATTGTCTTAATATACAGTATGTTCATATGCTCTGGACACGTGAGACCAGTGCTACTGGGAAGGTCTTTTCTCCTGCACTCGTCGCTCAATCCGGTGCATCCACCCCTCTGGCCCGAGCAACTCGCGGACGGCCTTCCGATTCGGCGCTAGATCCCACCACGGCTCACGGCGCGGACCACGCTTCTCATTACGCATCCGCTTCCAATGCTGTTTCAAGTCCCGGTCCCGCTGGTTGACGATTCCGGTTAACAGCCCGCACGTGCGATGGTTGGGCTCGATGCCAATCACCTCCATCTCCCGCAGGAGAGAAACCACCCCGGGGATATCGTGGCAGCCGCGCCAGTAGAAGTAGATCAACTCATTGTAAAGCCCTGTCGAACTACCTAGAACGGCAGAGGCGCGGCCATGCGACTTGATCGTGGCTCGGAATTGGCTGATAAGCGGGGAATTGGGGAAGTGCAAGTTGAGAAGACGGAAGGCCACGAGTAGCATCTTGGGATATAGAGCCGTGACGACGGGTTCCACCGGGACCGATTCGGGAACCTCCAGATGCGAGGGTTCCGTAGGGGCCTGGGCCACTTGGTTCTTATCCTGGCCCACATCAAGACCCTGTGCAAGACGGACATCCCCGAGGTGCTGCAGCATGGAGAATATCCTTTCTCTGCAAATGTCCCACACGCCCGTATCTTCCTTGCCTTGGTCAATGGCCGCCCGGAGGGCGCTCTCAATCTTTCCCGCCTCTTTCTTCACAACCAACTCAATCGCCTCCTCCATGGAGATCTGATTGCTCTCCAGCAACTCCGAGATATCCTCACTACTGTACTCGGACTTCCGGAGTCTCTCCTGCAACTCTAGATTCTGGAGTGTAACCGGGGTATCCGTCTCTGCAGATTGGCCCTCCGCGGAATCCGTCGTCGCACTTTTGCGTTTTTTCTTCTGCTTTATGTCTTTAAGCACCTCCTCGAAAATCTCTGAGATCTGCGCCATTTCATTCTTGTCCTCCTCACTCAGCTCCGGCTTCTGCGTTTCGGCGGTCGGTGTGTCATTCTGAACAGCCCCCAGCTGTTCCAGCAGGTCGCTGAACACTTGTTTCTCGCCGCGGGTCATGGTAAGAGGGTTTGGTTTCACGTGGGGAGTTCTTTTCGAGACCGTGGCCGCTCGTTTATGCAGATAGCTGCGTCTTTCCGTGGATTCGTTGCCATGCTCAGTCTGCGGCTGCGAGTCCGCTGGCGTATTTGCGCTGCTGTCATTCTGGGAAGATTCTGTCCGGGACGGGTCGTCGGGGGTACTGGGACTCGAAGTAGAGTATGCCTGTGAGGGACATCGTAGCGACCGCGAGAAAGATCCAGAGAGTGTGCGAGTTTGATATAGGAACGGGGCGAGGGAATTGCGAGTTGTCACAGCCAGCAACGAGCGATGAAGATGGCCACTCATGGCGATCGTATAGACAAATACGCCGAAAAGTTTCTACCGTAGCAATGTAAGACCCTTCAGCATGCTTTGCAGATAATCTATATAAACAGTTCGGGGGTAAAAAAACAGGCGTCTATTAGTCGAGGAATGCTGTGATGATGAAGCTTTATGTTGACTTTTTGCCTCTGCCGCTTCGGCATGGAGGTTAACACAGCTTAAGGTAAAAGCCAATTACCGCTCTTAACGTTCACGTGACAGCGCGATGCCTGCGCGCGTTTCTGACTTTCTCCGCGCCGGTGCGCAGTGCTACAATCGGACGAATCCAGACCAGCGCAAATATTCGTGGTATAGAAATATTCAACGTCTCGCCATGGGTAACGAAGAGATATCCGATTTCGAAAAGCAACGGCTTGCGAATATCGCGGAGCGCGATGCGCTTCTCAAGCAGCTGTCGCTAAACGCGCAATCCCTTTTCACGCCGACGGCGCGAATCGCGCGACCGGGGCCCAGACAAAAGCGAAGAAAAAGCCGGCACCGAAGAAGGTCAAGAAGGAAGAGGAGTCGCCTGTGCCGCGGCGCATGTCCTCACGTCTGAGGGGCATCGCGGCGGATAGTGAGGTAGCGAAACGGAAGGCAGAGGAGCAGCACCAGGCTTATCAGGAGGCGGAGAGGGCCAAGAGAGTGAGGAAGTCGGATCCATTCTCACTGGATGAGATATTCGTTTCGGGTCAAAAGCTTAGTGGGGATGGGCTGCTTGGTGTGGATGTTGTTACGAAAGGCGTCGCGGTGCCTTATCAGCGGACGTTTGGCGATGATGATATCAAGAAGACAACGGATAAGGAATTGAAAGCTTTGAGGAAGGAGATGAGTGAATTGCAGCTGTGGGAGGCTTGGGAGCCTAACCGTATGATATACACCTGCTGCGCAAAGCGTTGCTTTCGTATGCTAACTGTGGTATAGGAATCAAGCTTACCCCCGAGAGAGTGTATACCATGACATTCCACCCCTCGGAGACCAAGCCATTGATCTTTGCTGGAGACAAGATGGGTCATCTCGGTGTTCTGGACGCATCACAGGAAAAGCAGACCTCAGTGAAGCAGGAAGACGATGAAGACGAAGAGGACGACGACCCTGATCCAGTCCTGACGACCCTTAAGCCACATACCCGCACAATAAGTTCCATGGTGATCCACCCATCCAAACCGACTCATCTATATACAGCCAGTTACGACAGTTCTATCCGAGAAATGGACCTGGAAAAAACCACATCGGTGGAACGGTACGCGCCAGATTCAACGTCAGACGATGTTCCATTGTCTGGTCTGGACATGGCTGCTGATGACCCCAACACTCTCTACTGGACTACTCTGGAGGGTGAGTTTGGCCGATACGATATGCGTACACCCAAAAAAGACTCGGTAACCGTCTGGAGTCTATCCGAGAAGAAGATCGGCGGATTTTCGCTACTCCCGACGCACTCGCACTATTTTGCGACGGCTAGTCTGGACCGGACCATGCGACTGTGGGATATCCGGAAGCTATCACGTCGCGAACCTGTTCCTGTGGGAGAGCACCAGAGTCGATTGTCAGTTTCTCATGCGGCGTTCAATAGCGCCGGACAGGTTGCGACATCTTCGTACGACGACAGCCTAAAGCTGTATGACTTTGGCGCCAAGGGAATTGCTTCCTGGAAGCCAGGACATACCCTTTCAGATAAAGAAATGAAGCCCGACACGGTGGTACGGCACAACTGCCAAACTGGACGATGGGTTACCATGTATGACCCCTATCCAAAAATAACGATTATCAGGTGAAAGCGAGGACTAACCCAACATCTTATAGTCTCCGTCCTCAATGGCAAATAAACCCTCAGTCGCATATCCAACGATTCTGCATCGGAAATATGAATCGCTTCGTCGACGTCTACAGTAGTTCGGGTGACCAACTGGCCCAACTCGGAGGCGACGGCATCACTGCCGTACCCGCCGTTGCGGTTTTCCATCGGAGTAAGAATTGGATAGCCGGTGGTACAGCCAGCGGAAAAATATGTTTGTGGATGTGAATTGCCATATCGTGAGCGTTGTATATGTTTGCAGATCTCTGTTGCCTTTTTGAATACTTTAAACATATTTGTATCATGGCATGTTTTGCTCGGTCGTTCGTCCCTTCGTTACTTAAGTTGCATGTCATGGTCTATGGGTTACCGATTGTACAGAACTCAAGTGAGCATATATAAACCATTGATGAATCAAGGACTTCAACCAGCAGGAATCGTGGTCTATCCGCCACAATTGGATACTCATTTCGTCTATACCAAAAATAGAAAGTGAAGGGAAAGACACTATTTACACAAATCGAGACACTGTTTTTTGCAACAGCCTGGTTTAACAAGACCCTTGCCGTTCACAGCAACCCAGGACAGTGATATTTCACATCCAGCGTTACTCGCAGGATCTCTCGCTTCCCACGTCAAAAACAGCAATCAGAGCAGGGTATCAACACCATGACAAATGCTTTCCAAAAATCGGGAGAAGTAGAAGGGAAACGCGTCAAGTCATGAGCACATGTGTAGGGGAAAAGGAAGAATGTACACCGTAAGATGCAGGGATTTGTTTGCACAGATCCGCCGTGTTATACAAAACCGTTGCCGCCTGCTAAAAGTTTTAAAGGACGATCAGTTCAGCCTCCACGGTTGCCTAAACCAAAGCCAAAACGCATTCCAAGGTGAAGAGATGAAGAGGAAGCCCCCAGAGAGGAAGCTAGAGATCAGAAGGATGAAAAGGTGATAACATGCAACAGCCACGTCACCTGGTGTCGGCACCGTGAGGTGTAGATTGCGAAAGGGCTATATAGATGGGTTAGCCGGTAAAGGTAGCCCAGGTTGCCCGTCAAAACTCATTTCGGAGTTCTTCTCGGGATTGCTGTTGAGCATGCTCTCGGTCCCTCGCCCGGCGTCTAGATGTAGCCGGGACAAAATCAAAGAATCGGTACTTGCTCGTTGTCTCCCTGGTTATACTAGACCGGCGAGGCTTAGAGGAGTCTGGATATTCAAGAGAATAAGTCGAAGAATTCTTGGAACTCCCAGTGCTATCACGTGTGTCCGACCATCGTGGGATCGAGAAAGGCACACGGCTCTGGTCCCACGTAGCCGACGAAGAGCTTGGAGGGGTATCATCATCGCCACCGTCAGCGGCATAATCGGTCGACCGGCGAGGTAGAGAAGGCCGCGTAGCAAAGTAGCCGATTGAGTTTCGGTGACTTCCGGTGATAGACGCAGATCCCGCAATTGCCGTCTCCGTGGCCGGCGTGGTGGGCTTGGAGCTCTCCTCGTAGAAAGTGGCCGACCGTTCCATAGAGTCAACTAGTTCTTCCCACTTGACCTCGAGATCTCCACTTGGGCGCTCTGCTTGCTCGGCTTTACTCAAACATTCCTTGGTACGTCGGTCGAGGTGAAGCGCCATTTCATGGAATTTCTTGAGTGCCGGGTCGAGATCCTCTATCTCGTTAAGCCTCTCAGGTGCTCCTTCAAGCCATATCCGAATCAGAATCGCAAAGCTGCGAGGGTGGTCTATCAAGAAAGGGAGA